ATCCCGCCGTACAGCTGCCTGTCGTACTCTGGGCTGTCTGCATCCTGCCATGCAGCTGCCTGTCGTACTCTGGGCTGTCTGCATCCTGCCATGCAGCTGCCTGTCGTACTCTGGGCTGTCTGCATCCTGCCTGTCGTACTCTGGCACTGGTGGAGTAACAAGCATGTCTGGAGGTCTAACAAATTCCAGCTACACAGAGGCTTGGAGGTCAAATCCAGGTATTAGCAATGCAGGGGTGTACATTTTTAATAATTATTATTTCTAATAATAAAAATTGTAAATAAATTTATCATTGAGTTTTGAGTTTGATCATTTACTTAATTTTCAAGTTCAGTGTTTTTAGGTAGACTACTATAGTAGTTGGCTTATACAGACAGACAGACAGACAGATAGATAGATAGATAGATAGATAGATAGATAGATAGATAGATAGATAGATAGATAGATAGATAGATAGAAAGATAGATAGATAGAAAGATAGATAGAAAGGGAAGGGTTTGTACTCCGTAAATTGTTGTGAATTTTGTGATTTGTTATCAAAAGGGGCACTTGGCAGGGGACCCTTTGGTAAATTTCTCAGTGGGCCCCCTGCTATAATGGTCAGACAGACAGAAAGAAAGATAGAAAAGATACTCCATCCCAGTCAATAATGTGCCATTTTCTCAGAATGCAGAAGTGTAAAGCGTTGGGGAATATAATGAATTGTGAAAGATTATAAAACCGTTACCAGATCAATCTATTTGCATGACAAGACAAAACCACATGAGACTGTTTCAGTATGTGGTCTCACACCTTTACAGTTGTGGGTTTCTTTCTTGCCCCTAATTCTTGTTTCTTGTTTGAAATTTTCCTGTGGCTTGTACTATGAAGCGGGGTTACTGGCTTATCGGGTTAACTTGTCGGATTTAAGGTACCACAGTTCAAATGGACTTCATATTCGTTCACTTACATTTTGCCCAGACTACCTTATAAATCCGACAAGTTATCCCGATAAGCCAGTAACCCTGCTTCCAAGTACAGGGGGCCGGTGCTTTCTCGGTCAATACAAACAAACAAGCATGTGGTTTAGCTTAATTTACTGTCACTAAATTGCCCTTAGCGTGTGAGTGTGATGGTAACACGTCCCATGAAGGCTGCTCCGAGTCCGGACTGACTCCAGGTTTAGCGCGACCCGCCGAGCGCGCGCACTGGGTTTGGGCGTTTCCTTGGTAACTGACCGGTAGGCAAGGAAGCAGGAAGTGCGCGCGGAGCATGCAGCCAGCTTCGCTGCCGAGGAGAAGGGCGTATGTGTCACACAGCTCCACAAACCTGATTAAGTTTAGTTAAGGGGTGAAGGCTGCCGAGGATGGGTTGCTTTTTCTCCAAGCGGAAAACACTTGAGCTGGAGCAGATGCCGGCTACTGCCGAAAGTCTGGACAGGGGTAATGCTGAGAAAAATAAGCAGCAGAACGGCGGTGACACACTGGAGAAGGTAAACGCTTTATTCAGGCTTAAAGAAGCTCCGATCCAAAACATAGGCAGGGTTGCCAGCTTTGGTCAGCTAGCTGGTGTGAGATTTTCAATTCGAGACGAGTCTGCACACGTATTTCCACGTATATAACAGTTTTATTACCTTGTAAATTGTCTGTAATGTTTGCCAACTGCCGCAACGCTTCTGATGTGGCTAATTTGGGGTTTGTAATGTAATAATATAGATTTGCCGTAAGATTTCTTGCGTGAGCGTGATCGTCTGAAAGCGTGTGTGTCAGCCCTGCATAGGACTTGTTTGCAGGTCATGAAGGTCCACTGGTTAAAACCGAAGTGTCTTAGACCAAAACTATTTATAAGTAGGTGAGATCCTCAGAACTAACAGTTAGTCATAAGCTAATAAAGTGCAGGATATTTTAGACTGTAGTGGTGAAATATATAGATGTAAAAATGTTGTAATGTTACGTGTTTAAAGCAGGTATTTAAAGATAGATATCGTTTTAAAGGACGTGCTATACCACTACCTTCACATCTACACCAACAGCCAGAAACAGCGATACAGCCGGACCCTCATGGGACTGTAGTTTATCGTTTTTGTAAAGGCACAGTTTGTTTGGATGTATTTAATGAACAGTATCATGGGGTCTCAGGAAGGATAACTGTCACCTTAGACCTCTGGGGTCAGACTTAAAGCAGACGGAGGACTACGTACACTTTGATGAAGGAGTAAGCCCGTTCTTCCCCTTTTCTGTGGGCTTCCCATGCATGCCTCAGCTTCCTCCCACAGTCAGAAGACTCATTGTTCAGATGAACTGCTGACTCTCAATCCCCAAAAATAACTACTTCACCGTAATTGTGTGTGTGAAAATGAGAACACGTCTGGCCACACTGGGTGTACCTTCTTAACACACTGTGGTTCCTGGGAGAGGCCAGAGACCATTGTAACTAATTGGATTTAAATAGATGTTAAACATTATTCTGGACATGTTTAAGTATTATTTCACCATTTTAGCTTTTGTAAAGATTGTAATGTCTTTATACTGCATATCAGGCATATTAAATTACATGGAATTGGCATTCTTTATGACCTAAACTAACTGGGCCCGACTGGCAACCATTCTAATTTTACCCCCCCACCCAATTCTTAGGTGGACCCTAAGGACTATACGCTGACTGGAATGAAGGATGGCACCATTGGCCGTTTCCCTGGCAAAGTCAACGGTCAGCAGTTTGTTATCCAGAACTGTGAGAACTGCAATATATACATATTTGACCATTCAGCCAGCATAAACATTGAGGAGTGTGTAAACTGCCGCATTGTGCTGGGCCCGGTGAAGGGCTGCGTCAGCTTCCACGGCTGCCAGGACATTAAGTGTGTGGTGGCGTGCCAGCAGTTCCGTGCACAGGACTGCAAAAAGATGGATGTCTTCATTTACTGCGCAACTCAGCCCATCATCGAATCCTCCACGGGCTTCAGGTTTGGCTGCTACCAGTACTATTACCCTGAGCTGGCCTTCCACTTTAAAGATGCTGAGCTGAGCATCTTCAACAACAACTGGAGCAATGTTCAGGACCTGACTCCAGCCTCCAGTGAGGCCAACTGGAGTCTGCTTTCTGAAGATGCTGTACTTCTTGATTATGTGCCAATGCCGGACTCAGATTCTGAGTTCAAGTCTGTAAGGATCTTGACGGACGTCAGTCGGAGCATCGTACCCATGACCCATGGTCTGCGTCAGAAGAACAACGAGGAGTCCTGTCTTTTTGTATTCTTTTCTGGGGATTACTCCACTGCCAATGCCCGCAAACTCATAGATGAGGTGAGAGGTCGAGCTGCGATTCTCAGTCTGTGGTCCTTATCATTTTGCATTGGTAATTATGGTGCTTTGCAGTCATTCCTTTGCACAACCTATATAAAATGCACAAGCTATTTTTCTTGAACATTAGTTGGAAAGAAAAGTTGTGAAACTGAAACCTTTGATGTTGTTTTCGAAGAGGTGTGGTTGTGTGGGCTGTTGTCTCTACCTGTGATAGGACGTCTACGGCTCCACATGCCCTTGGCCCTGTAACTTCGCTGTCACCCCAAGCTTGTTCTTGCGTGCATGTGTGTCTCATGGAGGGCAAGATGGGCTAAAGAGTAAAGAGAATTTTCCCATGGGAATTAATAAAGTATCACAATTCTATTCTAAAAGTGAAAGATCTAAACTGCCAATTGAATTTATATGGCTACCTAGTATCTACTTGGTCAAAGTAAATATGCACATTTTTCATTTTTTGTACTTGTCATTCATTTAAATTACTTGTCTCCACTGAAAGGGCCTAATTATATGCCCTGGTGGAAATATATTACCAGGAGTCTATAGTTTATATTAACAGTTTTTTTTGTGCATTGACTCACTTCCTGATAAAGGAAACAGAACCATAATAAGGAACTGATGATGTCTTTTTTCACTTCTGCTTGATGCAAGTTCTTACTGTATCCTCCAGGTTTCATTATGACTGAAGCTGGTTAGGACTTTTAGGCAGGTCAATTAATATCATACTGATCAGACGCAGGGCAGCTTGGTGAGTTAATTGTGCCATTAATGGAAAAATACAGTGGTTAAGAAGATCATGTCCATATAAACCTTTTATCTGGTTCTGCTTGTTAATGTAGGTGGTGCACTTCTGAAATAGTTTTTCCGATTATCCAGTGAAAACATTTTTATGTTGTCACTAATGATAATTTCTACTGAATGACGTGATCATGACACATGCCTTATTTGTGGTAAGACTAATTTTCATATTTTTTTTTGTCACCGTACGTTTTTGAGCATGTTACATCCTCCTTTCACTACAGGCAACTGGAAAGGGCTTCGCCCTCATCCAAACAAAGGAGGTTTCAATGCGCCCCGAAGATGTCAGCAGGGTATTTCAGAGCAATGCAGAAGATCTCACAGAGTTAATAGCTAAAGGTATGTCCTGAGATAAAATGACGCATTAACGTGTAATGGCAAACAACAATGCACCATTTTAAGCTGATGTGCTAGCAAATGTAATAATATTTTTTATTACACCTACTGTTAATGGTTAATTAAAGCAAGTCATTCCTTGTAGGCCCAGTTGTGGCTCTGGAACTGAATGGAGATGGTGTGGTTGAAGCCTGTCGCTGCATTGCTGAGGACGTGTTCAGTGAGACAAAGGTAAAAGGAGATCATGGGTTGGGTCAAAGGGCACCAGTGCTGTTGGCAGGTTTTGTCACTTCCTGTCTGCCGTACAACAACCTTATACATAGTTTTGGTCTTTTTCAGGTGTTTGTTTCAGAAAACAAAGATTCCTCCTCAAAAGATGTGGACAACTTCTTTAATTCCGAAGACAAGGAAAGGGCACTTTGAAATATCTGTATTTGGAGATATTTGATATTCCATTTCTACACGTAACATATCACGACATTTAAGAATGTCATTAGTAAATTTTAAACTGTTTATGCCTCAAAATCTAAAGCTTTAATATTTTTAATGATTTATTCTATGTGAAGTTTGAAACTGTTTGCAATATAAAATATGTGTAGAGATATATTTGTATCAGCTTCATGAGTTATAAAATGCTGCAGGCCTCTGGTTTGTCCGTGGATTTGTAAGTGATGCCCATCCTTCTGAATGTAGGGCGTTTTGTACCTGCATTGGCTGTCACTTCTCACGATACTGTATTTTTATTAGCAACTTTATCATTGGCATTATTGCCTTTTCTTTAACATAACTCCTTGCTGTGTTGTTTGGAAATCTTTTTTTTTTTATTTTGCTGTGAACCTCTCATATATTTTCTGTTGCATAGTGTGACATAATTACATTTAAAATTGCTTTATTTCTCATTTGTAGAGGAATATGGGATAGAATATGTAGGTGCAAGAATAATCAGATAAATTATTTTTATATGTATCTATATAAGATTCAAGATCCTATATACATCCTTATTTTTATTTTATTTTTTTAGAAGAATTTATTTTTTGAAAGCAAAATATTTACTGCTCTAGCCATAGATCATTGACCTCTAAAAGTCCCAGTGCTATAAACAAAAGTATTGCACGGGCAGGATTGTAAGAAAGCATTTACATGTGCTTAGAGAAACCATGAATGTTGCTGCTTATTTTATTAAAAAATGAATGTACATTTTATTTCAATTGTTTTTTTTTTAAATATATGGAGTCCCGTGAAGTTTGTTGATTTTTTTTCAAGCTATACCATACAAAATGCTTCCGTCCAACACCATTCTTCACTATAACATTTTCATCCATCCATCCATTTTCTTTCATTAAAGCTTATACGATGCAGGAGGCACGGGTAGCCCCGGGATACTAGTACGTCACATGGCACGCACTCTCACATGTAATCCTATAATGATAAAGCCTGTATACATCAGAAATCAGAAATAATGCAGAGTACACGAGAGTACAAATGGGTGTATTTCCCCCCACCCCCAAAGATTAACTATGTTGGGTCCAGGATCCTGCGTGCCTGGTAGCACATCATGAACTGAAACAGTAAAGCAAACCTCACAAAGCGATATATAATTAGAGTAAAAGATTTGGTAAGGCTGGGGAGGGGAACCCGGCGGAGTGTAGGACCCTGCGGCCCCGGTGGCACAATAGGGCTGCTGTGCCATGGCGGAGGAGGAATTGCCGCGGTAGGAAACAGAAATGAAAGGTAAAATAAAGAAAGCGTGCGCCTCTCTCCTCAACCTAACTAGTGTGTAGGTGAAGATATGTCTTAGATTGCACAACGGCCAGCACGGCACCTAATTAGTATTCGTCGGCCGTTTATGATGTAAGGTAAGGTCGATGAATGAACAATATTGTTTGCTTGGCTCTGCCACTCAGCTCCGTCCCTGGATGGTTTCTCTGGCCGGCGGGGCCTCCCTGCCTTCTCGTGGGCTTGCCGCTTTGTACAGCACCAGAACAAACCATAACCTTACATTCGGTGTATACAGTAGTGTAAATGTCACCCCGGGGCTTTAACATGATATTTCATATTAGTGTTTTTCTTTTTCGAAGCAGCCGTGGTCATTCTCATACACGAAGGCCTTTTGGCGCCAAGGCCGACGCTAAATGTCGGCAGCGTGAATAAATCCGGCTGCTTGTTCGCGGACCGGGGCGCTGTTGCCTTGGTTCTGGGGTCACGGACAGCCCGTTTCTTTGTAGCCTCAGACACGGGCGTTCAGGGCTGCCGCCGGGACGTCTGCCTCGGGGGTGCATGCATACCCCAGTAAACACCACCAGCCTCCTGCGCCAGCTTAAACTGCAGCAGTAATGTAATTTCTGATCACCCCCCTGATGTGAAGCCATTGATTATTCTTGAATGAACTCTAATTTGAATGCACAGGTGAGCACGAGCCATTTTATCCATAATAAAAGTGTGCACACTCATCTGTATTTGGCCACCATAGCATATTTTTAAAACGATTTTTGTACACATCTTTTTCTTGCCCTGTAATGATAAATCTTATACCCCCCACCCCGTTTTTGAGTCATTGTCTAGTTCGTTTTGTGACTGATTAATGGTCATGCACAGCTGTCCATGCCATACCAATGTAGTTCCCTGTTTGGGAAGACGACTGCGCTTATTTTATTATCACAAATCAGCAGATTGTAGGAACATGATGATAAGTATTCTGTCCTACATTCTGCTGTGTCCCGGTTACGTGGTCATTGTTTGGCCTTTGATGAAGCGTTGGGACCATCGGTCTGTGCGTGAACTTTCTCAAAGCAAATCTACAGCATGACTTGTATCACAGACATAAGCAGTGCCACACAATCAATAACAGCAGTAACTCTTGTGAAATGTCACTTCTTATGGGAGATGTAACAAAGTTACCATGTAACTATAAACTTGAAAATGGTCACTGTACAGTGAATAACCTGCATACAAGTAATTTGGTAACAGAAACTGTTCTCGGGGGTGTCGGAGGGGCATGGAGTCCCAGCACATGGCAAGGTCCCTTCAGTGCATTAACTCATGCGTATGATTGGGCAGGCGACTCAAGGTGACATTTTGTCAGGGGGCCCAGAATTTCCTGGTACGCCCCTGTCTATCATAAAGATATTTCTGTACAAATGTGACGTAAACAGCTAGTCAGGAGTTCAGGGCTGACGCGCACCCTTTGGTACCTTCCTGATTCAACGTTCATTACAGCAGAATGACAGCCGAAGCAGGGCGCTCGACTTCCCAAAGACCCATTTAATTTTAAATAAGATGTGTTTTCAGTCACCTGAAGCACGGGTGGGTAGCTGGCTGGGTGAGATGTTGCCTTGCAGTGTAGCTTTCTTCAGTTATGCAGTCATCTAGTCACACTTTTGTTATTCACACTTATCAGTGAAAAGCAGTGAAAAGTCACTTGACACATCTGATAGGTTCTTTGGATGATGGATTTCTCTGATTTCATCACACTATATTCAATTAAAATATTTTTACAATGTACAGGTTCATTCATACATTCGTTTTAAGGTTTACATTTCAGTACTTATAAGGTTTAAAATATAATTTTGTTACATTGATAGGGTGAGATAAGCCTTTCTTTGTTCACTGATTGGCTAAGTAGCAATACACAGAATAGTTGAGTTTTGCTGAAGCTGTATATAATTGGGATTATTTGAAAGGTTTCATTTTCCCTCAGATATTTTCAGGTACCATTTGGGGGAAAGTGGTACTGAGCTGTTGTGTTAAACTCTCTCTGCACGTGCTACAGCCTCTGCTTCCTGACTTTTTATGGTCGCAGGCTGAAAATTTATCAGTTCTTATGCAAGAATCTGCAAAATTTCTGGATTATGGCGATTTTATTTGGATGAAAGAAACAAAAACAGCAGAGTAAGTGTCCCTGTTCACCTTTCTCTTAGGGGTTGTGAAAGTTTTGTGTGTTTTACAAGAGACAAAGCCGCAGCGAAACCTCAGGGCGGTAACGGCTCCCCCAAGTCCTGTGTGGTTTTGCTCTTAGAGTTTTTGTTCTGTGACACGTATCTAGTCCTACTGCTGTTCACCAAGGCTGGACGTTGTTACATTCTTTAATCAGAAACATCAAAATAGTTAAAACGTATCGAGTTTCTTTGGCGTCTTGTGATTCACACTTTCAGTTTGGGTTTATATTTTCCAAGGTGGAAGCACATTGCTTCTTTGTTTAGTTTTTTAACGGCGTTGTATATAGAATGCATGTTTCAGTGAAGATTTCCCTGGAAAACAAGTTATTAAAATGGGAAAAGAGTAAATTCACATTGTCTGGTTGTCTAATTTTCAAAAGTAAATATTGTACTGACTTCTGCAAACCGATGATTTCAGTAGTAGTGTCTTGCATGCATAACGTTTAATGTAGCTTTGCTATTAGTGTAAATTCAGGGTTGAGGTTGTCACTTGCAGCTTAAGCAGGGCAATCGTCACACAAGTGCAAACAATTACACAAATAGATTGTATGCGGTTAACGTGTCGTTGATGGCATTGAAAGGAAATAGTGTTTCCGGAACTGGCTGCAGAGGTCCATTGAACTCGATGGACAGCCAGTGAAATAGTAAGTTATCCGTGGTGTTAATGCAGTTCTTTTCACACTGTTCTACACACCATTACTGTGTAATGGTGCATATGAACAAAATGTGACACACAGCATAAATACATACAGCTTTTACTGAGACTAATCTAATTTATGCTGGAGGATTTATGCATATATACAGTACGTTTTTAATATAGTGTGAGCTTTATGTTGTTAGTGTATGAAAGGGCTTTATTTTTCAGTTTGAATTGTACTCATCTCCTAGGAGACCTTCTACCAAATTTGGCACATGAGGTCCTATCTGGCCTGGAAGGTTATAAAGGAGCCTTCCGTAGCTTCTCTGCTGGTTCCCCTTCTTCATGGAACTTTGAGATCATGAAGCTGTTCTCTGTAACACCCAGCACCTTATAAGATAAGATTTAGATAAGTTAAACTTTATTGATCCCAAGGGGAAATTCTTGTGCATACAGCAGCACAGTGTGTAAAGACAAACAAATATAAAGTACAAAAGAAGAAATAGTGCAAAGAAGTAAATGTAGCTCAGACAAAAAAAAGTACGCAAATAGAATATTATGAAAACGAAATATTGGGGAAATAAAAATTGTCAAGATATTTTATAGCGTAGAGTGTGTGCTAAGTTTAATTAGGCTTATTCTTCTAAATTTACAGTGTTTAGGTTGTATCTAGCAGACTGTGGAGGTTGTCCATCTTGACTGGAGTACTTTGTTTTTCGTCACTTCATTTATCTGAGCAGAAAATTAGGAGTGAGCTCATTAGCAGCCAGTCAGTACTTTCTGTCCCTTTCTGTGGGAAGCCTGTCTCTAAGCTTCAGCATCACGGCCTCTTAGCACATTGACACCGAAATCTTTTTGTGCATGGAATAAATGGCTCCAGTTATGGAGTCAGCCCTCACAAACATCAATTGTCTATGTAGTACCCTGGGATTTATTAATATAACTTCCTAGGCATTCCTGGGAGCCCCAAGAATGCCACGTTTTTAATAATACCATACCATACATATTTCACTTATCCATCATTTTGAAATACTGTTTTTTCCTCCCCAGAGATGAGTCTTGAGATTTAGGAAAACGGAAGAATACTCTAGCATGCTCTTCTTTTGGGGATGTATGGTAAGCCGAAAAGTCTGTTTAACTTTTATTCCTAGTCCTGTGCTACAGAAATATATCCACATTCTTGCAGTATAGCACTCTGAGGCTTCTTGTAATGTTTTAGTCACAGATGTCTGGTTGTTTCCACAAACAGTTGGCATTGCTGTTCTCTTATGAATCCTATATGGTAGAAGTTTTCAATTTGGAGACTGCAGAAACTGTCAGAATTACTATCCACTTGATGTAATGCAAAAAATATTTATGGGGAAACTTCCCCCCAACCTTCGGTCCTTAGGTGGTCCTCACTGATATGGCTTCTTATTTCATGCCTGGCTTGAGGAAGCTTAAAACCCCCTGCACTGCCGTCATCGAGGTGCTATTCCAAATCCAAACCAGGATTTTGTTTCAACCAACCAGTTCAGCATAAAGAGTCACAGAGTACTCAACTGGTTGGTTGTAACAAAATCCTGGTTTGGATTTTCAATTTCTGGACCTGAAATGTCTGCCTCTGGCTAATACGAGCCCCCCGTTCCAGCCTTGACGACCTTTTCTCCCGGCTTCAGGAACTGCAGGAT